CTTTTTTGTTTTGTTTCGTTTTTTGAGAAAGAGAATAGGTCGTTTTGTTTTTGAGTTGACTCTGTATCTTCTAATGACCTTTTTGCCTATTTGATTCAGTTTATTTTACTTGATATAAGTATGTGGAAGAGGCCAAGTGTGGTGGTGCACGCCTTGGCCCTCTGAGATCATTTTTGAGAAAAACCCATGAGGACAAATATACTGCTCCCTTTCCATCCTATAACTTATTAGAACTCTCCACTAGCCAAACAACCAGAATTTAGAGCACATGGAAATTATCCTTTGTGGGTTGGAGAGAAGTGTGAAGACCTATAGGGTCTACTTATTAGAAACTATCTTTCAATAATGTTTTATGAAAATAAGGCCCTAATTTTGGTAGACGTTTATTTCAGGTCTTTGTTCATACTCTGGGACGTACTTTGTGAAAAGTCAGAATGGATTTGCAATGGGTGGTGGAGTGGAGATTCAACACACACAGACACAGTGGAATTCCAGAACATGCTCTGACTGGCGTGCATCTAATTCATTCGGTATGGGGAAACATCTGCATTGCTGTGCAGATCTGGGCAGCACAGAGAAATAGGAAACAGTACAAATAAGTATCTAAGTTTCTCTTTTAGACCTATGATGAAAACTGTTAGATATGTCTTTATGTAAATATTTAAAACTGTTAGTCAAAAATGAATTACTGCTGTTGGACTGAAGCATTAATAGCTGTGCATATAATTTGTTTAGTCATTGTTTATAAACAATGAGTCAGCATGAAAGATGTAAAGAAAAAGATATCATTTGATAGTACCTGATTCTGATAAACATAACGCTGATAAGTTAATTTAGAATATGATGGCTCATTATTACTATACATTTTATTACTGCATGTGAATATTCATTCTTCTAGATTCCCCTCATATTTTGAAATTTAAAATTTACTGGGTTATATATAACAGATAATAATTTTTAAATTAATGGCTTAAACATAAACAAGCTATCTATTGATTATATATGCTTTTAACCTATATGGTAATATTAGAACAAACACAAATGGCAGAATTAATATGATTAGGATGTTTGGAGGCATTCGGCAGTCTAAAGAGCAGTAAACCTATAGGGTCTACTTATTAGAAACTATCTTTCAATAATGTTTTATGAAAATAAGGCCCTAATTTTGGTAGGCGTTTATTTCAGGTCTTTGTTCATACTCTGGGATGCACTGTGTACAAGTCAGAATAAGCTTGTTTTAAAAAATGGCACAGGAGGGCTGGAGATGGCTCAGCAGTTAAGAGCACTAGCTGCTCTTCCAGAGGACCTGGGTTTGGTTCCTAGCACCCAACTGGCGGCTAACAAACGTCTGTAACTTCAGTTACAGGGGAATCTGATGCCCTCTTCTGATCTCCTTGGGCAGGCACTGCATGACACAGGTGCACATGCATGCAGGTAATACATGCACACACATAAAATAAAAATAATAAATATTTGCCTGGCATGGTAGTGCTTGCCTTTAATTCTAGAACTTTGGGAGGCAGAGGCAGGCAGATCTCTGTGAGTTGAAGGCCAGCCTGGTGAGTTCCAGGACAGCTGGAGCTACAGGGAGACCCTGTCTCAAAAAGACAAAAAAAAAAAAGGGACAGGGCAGTATTCAGACACAAAAGCCTCATGAGCTCACTGAGTTAAAGGCAAGAACTGTAGAGTGATACAGGCTTGTATTTCAGTCCTGGCTTGGACACAGGCATATTAGACACTCTGAGTCCAAGTTTTTCTTATGTTTGAGATGTAGAGAATGATTCCTTCTTGTCTTACTTTTCCTGTTAGTGTGATAAAATGTCCTGAAAGACAACTTTTTTTTTTTTTTTTTTTTTGGTCTTTTTGAGACAGGGTCTCCCTGTAGCTCCAGCTGGAATTAGCTACGTAGACTAGGTTCACCTTGAACTCACAGAGATCCATCTGCCTCTACTGGGACTGAAGGTGTGTGCCACCACGCCTGGCCCTGAAAGGCAACTTAAAGGAGAAACGATTTATTTTGGCTCATAGTTCAGGGTCCAAGCTATCATGATAGGGAAATCAAGACGGCAGGAGCTTGAAACAGCTGGTCACATTGTGTCTACAGTCAGGAGGCAGAGGGCAATGAGTGTATGTTGCTGCTCAGCTCCTTCTCCACTTACACAATGCAGGGTCCCACCTACAGAATGGTGCCACCCAAGGTGGGTGGGGCTTCCCACCTCAATTAATACAGTCATGATAATCTCCCACAGGCATGCTCAGAGGACTGTCTCCCAGAAGAATCTAAAGTCTGTCAAGTTGACAATTAATTCAACTATCATATTCCCTTACAGACCTGTAATGAAGAATAAATGAGATCATATATGTAATGTACTTACCAGTGTCTTGCTTATAAAGACTAATCCATAATTTGGATTATTGTTGGGATTCCTTCTCAAAGCTATATATTACCTGGAAGCTAGAAGTATATGATTTTCAAGAATATTTACTTGGCATGAATATACTGATGTGCACTACAATGAAAAATAGACACATTTCACTGGAGTGATGCAGCACCAATACAACAGTAGTAGTAAAATAGTACTTATTATAGAAGTATCATGGATTTAATTATAAAATTTTGTCACTGTCTTGAGATTAAGCATTTAAGTGATCATCTTGAAAAGGGCATATTTAGATGTTCTCTGATACACAGTAGATAAAATTTATATGAAGCGTGTGCCTTAAGATATAACTAATCTTGAAGATAGTTAAGATTCAGAATCAAGGTTGACTTTCATTTACTGTCAAAAATGACTATCACTGACCTATACTTCTAAAACAATTTTTCTGATATTTAAAAATGTTTTATGTATTTATATATTTCTTCATTCATTCATTTTGTATGCATCTGGGGAGGTGGGAGGCATGTGTGGAGGTCTGGGAACAACCTGAGGCAATCACTTCTCTCCTTCCAATTTGTGGGCTCCAGGGATTTGACCTTGGTCATCAGGTTTGGCAGCAAGTGCATTTACTTGCTGAGACATCACATGGGCCCAATTTTTTGATATTTAAAATAGTCTATTATCAAAATTCTTCCAGTCTTCATGTTTAATAACCACAGTTGTGGTTTGTCCCTTTCATAGAGATGTAAAGGGCTCATAAAGGAAGAACCAGCTAAAAGCTGAGGGCCTGCAATCTGAGACAGTTGAGAAACTAATTTCAATGAAGGATTAGAATGTTTCCTCTTTTGTGTGATGGGTTAGCAAGGACAATATTACTTGCTTATGTCATAATTTTTTTTTTTTTGGTCTTTTTGAGACAGGGTCGTGCTGTAGCCCCAGCCGTCCTGGAACTCACTATGTAGACCAGGCTGGCCTTGAGCTCACAGAGATCCACCTGCCTCTGCCTCCGGAGTGCTGGGATTAAAGGCATGCGCCACCATGCCTGGCTATGTCATAACTTTTAAAACTCTATCATTTCACTTTTTAAAAAAGTCCTAAAGTGGAAGTTTGCAGAGGAAATGCCTCTGTCGAACAAAAACTACTTTCACAGTAGTTATCAGTGATTATTAAGAGTATAGTCGAAGAGCTGAAGAGATGGCTTAGCGGTTAAGGGCACTGACTGCCCTTGCAGAGGACCCAGATTTGAATCCCAGGTACCTTCTTCTGACCTCCGTGGACACTGCACTTACATGGGCGCAATATACACATAAAATAAAAATAATAATTTTTTTTTTTTTAAAAAGAGTACAGATGTTACCTTAACTCCCTATACACCAGGCTGCATGTTCACTTTGCTTTTAGCCTTTCTCCACAGAGTTACCCAAATGCAAATCTAATATGCTGCTTTTCTGCTTTTGTTGCTGGGGAGAAAGACTATCACAAACAAGACCAAACCATGGCTCCACCTCCACTTCCAGCATCAGGTTACCTCAAGTTCTCTACACTCTCTGAATTCCATGGGCGTTGTCCTTCCTTGCCCTTAATTGGCCATGTAATAGACATGTAACTATAAAATGTCTGCCTAAATTTTTAATCTGCTCCACAACTCTGTCCTACCTCTATTCTATCCCTTTGCCTTGATTACCTGACCAGCTTTTAGAACCTGCACTCTGGCCCTACTGTTTTTTTTCTCTGACAGAGAGAATTCAGTCTTTATTTTTGAAGTTTCAGAAAGCAGGGAAAAAAAAAATCCCTTGAAAACTCATGCTATCATATTAATTTATTCTTCACTACTATAAGAAAATATCTGAGGTAGGCAAACTGTAAAGAAAGAAGGTTTACTTAGCTCATGGTTTCAGAGGTGGAAGTCCAAAGGCATACATAGTGTTCTGTGCTCATGGTGAGTGAGAGGAATGCACTTGAAGAAGAGATCACATCTTGTTATAAGAAGGCAGAGTGACTGGGTCCTACAATCCCTTAAAGAAGCATACCCCCAACTGACCATTTACCACTGATTTACCACTAGGACTCACTTTTTTTTAAAAACTTTTTTTTTAACTTTTATTTATTATTTTTATTTTATGTGTATGCATGTATTGCCTGCATGTATGTAAGTGCACCTGTGTCATGCACTGCCTGCAGAGGTCAGAAGAGGCTGTCGGATCCCCTGGGATTGGAGTTACGGACAGTTGTTAGCTGCCATGTGGGTGCTGGGATTCAAACCCGGGTCTTCTGCAAGAACAACCAGTGTTCTTAACCACTGAGCCATCTCTCCAGCCCCTAGGACCCACTTCTTAAAGGCCCCACCTTTCAATGTCACCAAACATGTGATCAAGCTCCTCACACATAGACTTAGGACAAATAACATCTGGTAGCTACCATTTGGATTTGTAAGCTTCCTGTTCATCCTGATGTTGAAAACTGTAGGTTGGACAACAGACAATTTCTTCTATGTGGGATACAGACAGATTCTCACAAGCTCATTTATGACCAACTCCTGAAGAAATATGCTTTTAGACAACCTGGACAGTAGACAAGCAAACAGTTGAGAATACATCCATGACATTTCTGAGTTCTCACCTCTGCTGTGTGTTTTGCCACGTGTCCCACGATAACAATGACCTTCCCCTTGAAGTTCTGGAGCATAGTTGTGTAAGGGCCTTGGCTAAGCTCTCCTTCTGTTGTGAATGCTGCACTGAATGGGATGTTGATGCTGCCTGAAATGTGGCCCCGAATAAAGCTGAGAAGCTAAGTTTAAGGAAAAGAAAGAGGTACTTTATTCCTAGACAACAGTACTAAACATTTCCAATGCTTATCTGAGTATTTTATCTAAATGAAGTAAGACCCTCTAGGAGGCAAAAATTAAATTAGAAAATGAAGTGGAAAAGAGAAAGGAAAAGTAGCTAAAGATATAATTTCTATTTATTTATTTATATTTTATGTGTATGTATGAGTGCTCTGCCTGCGTGTTTGTAATGCCTGTGGAGGCTGGAAGAGGGTGTCAGATCCCCTGGAAATGAAATTAAGGACAGTTGTGGGCTGCCATGTGGGTGCTGGGAACCAAACCCAGGTCTTCTGCAGGAGCAGAAGTGCTTTTAACAGCTGAGCCATCTCTCCAACCCCAAGATGTAATCCTTCATCAGTAAAGTTTGTGAAGGTGATCCTGATGCAGATCATGGCAATTCTGAGCGTGCCATATGAATGTTTTTCAGTTCATTACCGTGACCAGAGTTATTTAAAAGGAATGATTCTGGCAAGTGGATCAGCTGAAGTCAAATTTGGGAAAGTGAATGCTAAATCGAATTCCACTTAGAACTGTTAAAGGTCACATGCCCTAGTTGGAAACACTTCTGCTGTTGGTTATTTGTCAAGCAAGCTCATCTCACATATTCTAATTTTACATTCACCAAATGGGGTGAGGTCTTATTTTTTTCTTGTACTTTAGAGAAATTTCAATGTTCTAAATAATTATTACTTTTATTTTAAAAAATAAAGACATACATTAAGTTAAAATATTTAGAAATGGCATAAGATCTTAAAAATGTGCTTTACTAAATAAATAACTGGATAAATGAAAATAGAACTTTGGAAATCAAAAAATATGGTCATATATAGAGAGAGTCTTATGTATCATTCATTAATCAAATGACTTCAAATAAACCCAAAATAACAACTGTAGAAACTACTCTAGAAGATTTATGATTCTTTTACAGATAGATCAAAATGTGAAGGGCAGGGAAGATTTCCACTGATGAAGTGATGGCAAAATTAAAATTTTGAAGAATAAATAAAAGCTAATCAAGGCAGAGGGATAGAATGGAGGCAGGACAGCGCTGTGGAGCAGGTGAAAAGCCTAGGCAGACATTTTGTAGTTACAGTGGGGAGGCACATGGCCAGTTAAGGGCAAGGAAGGACAACACCCGTGGAATTCAGAGTGTGGAGAACTTGAGGTAACATGAGACTGGAAATGGAGGTGGAGCCATAGTTTAGCCTTGTTTGTGATAGCCTATTCCTCCAGCAATGAAAGTTAAAGTATGTTAAGTAAAAAAGCAGCGTATTAGATTTTCATTTGGCAACCCTGTGGAGAAAGGCTAAAAGCAAAGTGAACACGCAGCCTGGTGTATAGGGAGTTAAGGTAACATCTATACTCTTAATAATCACTGGTGACTCCTGTGAAAGTAGTTTGTGTTCAACAGAGGTATTTCCTCTTCAAACTTCCACTTCAGGACTTTACACAAGCAAGTAATACTGTCCCTGCTAACCCATCACACAAGAGGAAACATTCTAATCCTTGAAATGACAGTTTCTCACTATCTCAGTCTGCAGGCCCTCAGCTCTTAGTGTCTTCTTCCTCTCCCACTCTCCATGTCCTCATTAATGCAAAGAGAACTTCTGAGGCTCATATTTCAAGAATGATGGTAAACAACATGTATGAGGTTGTGGGTTCTGTCCTCATCACTTCAGGAAAAAAAAAGAGAGCATGGTGGTGGATAATGACTACGCTTTTTATATTCCACATTTTCTACTCAACTGTTACTTTATTTTTTCTTTTTTCTTTACAGAAAAATGTTTAACATTAATAATGAAAGCACTAATAATCATGGGGTTGGAGAGATGGCTCAGTGGTTAAGAGCACTGGCTGCTCTTGCAGAGAACCCAGGTTCAATGCCTAGCACCCACATGGTGGCCATGTATAATAACCTGGAACTCCAGTTCTAGGCATGGGATCCAATGCCTTCTTCTGACCTCTGCAGGCATTTCATGGCACAGGTGCACTTACATGCATGTAGGCAACATACTCATACACATAAAATAATAAAAAAAAATCTTTTTTTTAAAAGAATACATTATCCTGAAAGTACTTAAAAAAAAAAACCTCAAAGTACTTTTAGTTTCAGTAAAGATATACCTTAAAATGGAAATGTTTAACACCAATCAGGAGCCCGAGTATTCGTTTTCAACAATATATCTCTACCTATCAGGTCTGAGCCAGCTGCCAGAGAGAATTTCTGTTTAACAAACAGCATTATAAACTGGGAACATCTTTTTTTTTTTTTTTTTTTTTAATAATTTTTACAGTAGCAGGAAAAGTAATACAAATCTATCCTAGTCAAATACTGGGACAGAAATGTTTATGCTTCCTACCTTTCTGACTCAGAAGAGCCCCAGACACTGCCCTTGGTGAAAGGGTGAACCTTGGCCATCATGTTTGTATGGGATAACCGTATCAGGCCATGCCCCAGCTGACAGGGTAGGAGGGCATGGAGGTAGAGGTAATAAAAGATAGTACTTAGGATGTGTTACATTTTGTAACATAAACTCACATTTTAATACCTAGAATTTATTTGTTAAGTCACATATTAGAATAGAATCTGATGGGCAAGGTGGTGCACACCTTTAATTCTAGCACTTGGGAGGCAGAGGAAGGTGGATCTCTGTGAGTTTGAGTCTAGCCTGGGCTCAATAGCAAGTTCCAGGCCAGCTGGGGCTATAGGGAGACCCTGTCTCAAAACAACCAAAAAAAAAAAAATCCAATCTCCAGTAATAACACTACACCATAGACAGCAGCTGAACCATCTTTCTATGCTATTTATTATGTACTTGTAAGGAAGAATTTCATCCAAACTACCTTTTAGTCACTAAAAGTATGTCATAAACTTGCTATTTTTCCAGAATTTTCTGCGAGTTATGCTTTATGGTTTGATAGTTTTAAAAGAATGTAGATTAAATGTCAAAATGCTTTACAAAATATGATGCTAACAGACTTCTGGGGAAGAGGAAAATTATTATTCAAAACACAAAATATTTTAAATCTTTCTTTTGATTATATTTGGAACACAACACATAAAGGAAGCAGAGATTTAAACCACTGTTCCTTATTACTAGTATACTTCAATGGAAAAATCCTGGAAACCATCTGAGAACACTCTTCCAAGAACACTGTGTCATGAAACTTGTAGCACAGAGACTAAGCACAGATGTTTGTACACACAGGGTTGTCAAACCCCTAAACCCTCCATCCATAACTGCATTGCTGGCAAAGGACAGGAGAATGAGCTGGGCCTAGTTATAAATCAGTGCATTTACAATGAGTCTCTTTTGTCTTAGCAAGCTTGACAATGAAGAAAATACTTTAGGTTATGTAAGGACCTTTTATCCTTGGTAATTATGTATTTCATTGCTTATAAAAGAAATTCTTACATGACTGACATTAGGATGAGGTAGATTCCCTCTAGGTAATTTCTAGACATCTTAGAGATGGTCAGATTATATTGTGAAGGTATGCAGCTGAATATTTTTTTTAAAAAACTTGTTGAGTCCTTCAAAATCATAATTAAACACTGAGTGTGTCTCTTTTCCTGTCCTTGTGATAAAATACCCTGAAAAAAGTAAGCCACGGGAGAAAGTTCAGATCAGTTAAGGTCCATCCTAGAGGGGCAGTGAAAGAAGCAGAAGCTTGAAATAGCTGGTCACATTGCACCCACCATCAGGAAACAGAGCTCAGCTAGCTTTCTCCTTTCTATAGAGCTGAGGACCCAACCCAGGGAATGGTATAATCCACTTCTAGTGTGGATCTTCCCACCTCAATTAACCTCATCAAGATAATCCCTCTCAGGTATTCCCAGAGGCTAAATAATCCCTCACAGTTTTGTCTGGATGTTTGTCTCCCAGGTGATTCCAGATCCTGTCAAAATGACAGTTAACAGTAACCATCACACTGAGTATATTTTATATTTTTTTAATTTAAATTTTTTCATGTGTATGAGTGTTATGCCTGCATGTATGTACAGTATCTGAAGAAGACAGAAGAGGGCATCAGAGTCCCTGGAACTGGAGTTACAGATGGGTGTTAGCTGCCATGTGGAGCTGGGATTCAAACCTGGGTCTTCTGAAAGAAGAGTCAGATACTCTTAACTGCTGAGCCATCTCTCCAGTCCATATTTTGTATTTTTTTTTGGGGGGGGCGCTTTTTGAGACAGGGTCTCCCTGTAGCCCCAGCTGTCCTGGAACTCACTATGTAGACCAGGCTGGCCTTGAACTCACAGAGATCCACCTGCCTCTGCCTCCCGAGTGCTGGGATTAAAGGCGTGAGCCACCAAGCCCAGCCATATTTTGTATTTTATAAAGGAGTGATGAACTGAAGCCTGGCGAGATGGATCAGAGGTTATAGCACATACTGCTCTTGTAGAGGATCTGAGTTCAGTTCCCAGTACCCCAGGTAGCTCACAACTGCCTCTAACTTTAGATCCAGGAGGGTCTGATGCCTCTGGAATTCCATGAGTACAACCCCCAGGTACATACACATAATTAAAAATAATCTTTTAAAAAAGAATGAAAAACAGAGTTTTGGTTATTTCTTGTTTAGGCTGAGTGAAGTAGAAGGTAGTACCTGACAGTTGGTGACTTCAAGTTGCCAACTGTGATCATTCCTATGCTGAGATAAACTCTATGATCTAAGTGCCTGGATGTTTTTTCATTGTTCCACTGTGGAAGATGAGTTGTATAGCTCCTTCATAACAAAGTAGTATTGGAGATGAACACACAACAGCACATACTTTAGTCTGTACTTAGGAAAGCAATGAAATGCCATTGCTTTCCTAATGTTATAGGCACAAATGTAAATTCTCTTCATTCACATTTTACATTTAAAAATGCCATTGTACATCAGCAAAATTGCAGATGTGGAGTAAGTCATTTTCACATTCAAAGAGGTGTTATACTGAGTGCACTACCCAATAG